TGTTGAAAAAGAAATGTAGGCTAGGCCTTATTTGGTAGGGGCTGAACATGGGGTGCTCTTGGCGCTACCTCGAAAATGGCGATTTTTTTCGCCTCCTATCTCCTTAAAGGATTTGGCGCGTGTATGGCGGTAAATAGTTCTCGGGTGCGTACATGAGTCCAACGTGGTACGAGAGGCAAATTTATCGATGCATGAAAGCAACGGGCTTATCATGGAGAAGGGAGGGAGGGGGGTGGTGTGAAGGGCTGTACAACTCCAGCCAAGGCCCTACGGGATACATACGTGGGCGCAGGACCAACAAGCCCAGACAGAGGGCACGTAGGACAGGCCGCTACATGCAGCATCGGCTCACCGATGCCCCAATTGTCTTGGTACTAGGCCGTGACTTGCACAACCCCTCTCCCCCCCCCCTGTGCTCCCTCCCTCGGCTCCATGTCACTGACCAAAGCTGGCACTGACCAGAGCTGGCGCTGGCCGGTGATGAGGCTGTCCCGAAGGGGAGGGAGACGGGGCCCATGAGCTCAAAGCCGGTGAGGAAGGACCTCCGTTTTTTTTGCCAATATGTTGCATGCATGGCCGTATCGGCAGGGAGACGAAAGAGGAGTAAACCCGGCAAAAGAGAGCCGCTGCAGGCAGGGTAGGGGGGAATGAATGGGCCACAGACGCAAGGCACTCACGCAACGCAAAGCGGCGCTCGCATGATGGGCTGGGCTGCAACTTTGACAGGGAGAGCGGGAAGTCTGGGGCTGGGGGGATGAGATTTGATGTGTCCGTTTTTTCCAATCTGGTTTTTTTTTTTCGTCTCTCTTTTTATGCCTCAACCGTGCGGCCGGTTTGGAGATGGTAGCATGTTTAGTGCGTGCGTGGTGGGAGAATGCAATGGCCCAAAATGCCAAGTGCCCTCGAAAAGGCCAACCCCCGGCTGTGGCTTGGTGACTGCATGTTACGATGGACCTGAAATCGTGTCTGTAGCACGGAAGTAGCCATGAGCAGCCATGCAGGCCCCTTTTGTTCGGGCCCTGTTTGGGTGGCAGCAGCACCTGGCAGTCAGGTCGATCTCGGGGGTCGCGATGCAAGGGCGAATCGAGGCCTAAAAGAACGTGTTTGCTTGGTGTTTGCCTGCTCTGGGCCGGTTTCATTGCTTTTTTTTGTTGATCTGATTTGCTTTTTTTGGGCTGATTCTGCCCCATTTTTCTTACTTACTTTGTTACGGCAGGTACTTGGCTCAGAAACGCGGACCTAAAGTCCCAACTACTTTTTGCGCCAAAGGACTGCGTTTTTAGTTGGAGGGCGAGGCAAGGTACACTTGTGTAGCAAATGTAACTGTTAGAAATATATTAGAGGACCCAAGGAAAATTAGCCAAAAGGACACGAGAAAAAAAAGATCAAGAGCACCTCCTCACCTCGGTCCATCACACCCGACATCAAAAAGCACGGTCCTGGGCGCACGGCATTTAGCGAAGTCTGCTGCACAGGGTCTCCGCCCATCGTGCACCCAGAGCTCCACCTTACAGCTGCCGCTAGGTGCGCACCAGCCAACCTCGGCAAGCTAGGGTATAATGCCTTGAGGGTATTTTACCACCTCAAGCGACAATACCAGGCTGCCAGGCCGTGGGTTGATGGGGCGCGATATGAGGCGCGAAGATCAGACGAAGGCTCAAGCGCTAGATATCGAGGTCTTGGGTGGTCGCCCGCCCGGCCGCCCGCTCCCACGGCATGGCACCACGGCACTCAACTCATGGCAGCCCCAACCAGCGCCTGGTGTGGTGTGTGGGGACCGACCCGTGTCTCCATTTTGGCGGGGGCCTGTCTGGCCGTGCCCGCCTGCCTGCCTCTCAATCGAACTCGCTGTGGGGGATGTCTAGACGAGGCGGGGCTCGGTGTGGCCCACCGACAGAGCGCTGAGTGGTGGGCTGCAGGTTGCGATTTCCGTTTTTGGGACAGTCGACCTCAAATGCCACCTCGGGGTGGTCACAGGCCCACTACCAGATTTGATTTCTTCATTTTTTCAAATTCTTTTCTTTTTTTCTGCACCCCCGCGTGCGGTGGTTTCGCATCGCTTCCTCTCCCCATTTCCCACCCTAGCGCGTTCCCAACTCCTGTTCCTGTCGGTTCCTGCGCCTAAAACAGCGCCGCCGCCAGAGAAGAGTTAAAAAGCGATGATCGCAATGCCGCGCCCGCGCGCCCCGTCAGGAAATCAAACCCCCGGGCATGCACACGTGCACACCCAGCAGCACCCCACCGCAGACCGGTCTCCAGTCTCCGCCCGGCTGGAGCTGGTCGGGTTGGGCATCTATGCGAGAGCTGTCTGACCGGTGTAAGCGCTGTTTCTTGACTCGCTTGCTCCTGTGTTTGTCCATCCGTTGGACCGGACGGTAGCCTGCCGTTGAGGTTGTGGGCGAGCCTGTGGTGGTGTCTGGCCTTGTCTCCTGCTATCTCACTCTGCTCCCGGCCCGACCAGGAGACAACGCCAGCCCACGGCCACGCACGCATGCGCGGCGGCGGCGGCGGCGGCGGCGGCAGCGGCAGGAGCAGTACCTACCTAGCCACACCCCCTCCCTCCCTCCCTCCATCTTGGGTGGCCGTGGGTGCCATCATCATCACCACCCGCCGCCCAGTCTGCCGTCGACCTTCCTCTGACCCGTCTGACTGGCCCCTGGCCGCCCTGTCCGTTTTGCTTTTACACTCACGAACCGACTCGCTGGCCCGGAGGCCTGCTGCTGTCCTGCTGTCCTGCCCTGCTCTGCTGCACGCACTGCGGCACGGTACGAATACGGCACACCAGCTGCCCGGCCAGCGCGACCTCCCGCCCTCAGCTGCCGCATCCCGGGCGCTAAAGCCTGTTTCTTGTGTTTCTTCTCCGCCCACGTAGCCAGGCCAACTGCGGCGGTGGTAGCTAGCAGTACCATTAATACCAGGGCGGAAAAACACGCCAGCCCAGGAACAGTACCGCCACCACCTAACGGTCCGCTGGATCTTGCATTTCTTTTTCTTTTTGCCCCCATGCTACTTTTAGTCTTTTTCTTTTTCATTCTTTTTCCTTTTTCTTTTTTCCCTCTGCCCTTCTGGCGTCCTTCCTGGCCGTCTTCCAGGTACTGAGTGGGTACATCGGGGGAAATGAAGTCATCTCGCCTCCGTTACTCCCCGCAAACCTGGGTCTCGACCTGGTGCTTCCTTGGGGAAACGGCACACGTCTAGGTATTGCGAATCCCGTGAACCATGGGCCGGACGGAGCTAAGAGACCGCCAGTTTCCCGGGTAGGGAGGCGTGTACCTCCCTAGTACAGCACAGCACTGCCGGATGCCTGCCTCGCATCTCAATTTTTTGTGCTCGTGCTTGGGCAAACATGGTGCCGCTGTGCTAGCACGCCCACCAGGCCGGCGGAGCCTTTTGATAAATTGATAACCCCGGCCGCGCCTCGACCAAGACTAGAGGACGCCGGCACTACTACCCTGACGACCAGGGCTTCCAAACCTTCTTTTTGCCTATCTTGCCTGTCTAACCACCTGGACACGCCGTGGCACTGTACCAAGCACTGCGCTTTGCCTGTATCTGCACATCCCCCCGAGGCGGCTTTTTCTGACTGCGTCACTCTGACCTGTGGCGGCTTCGCACACGGACGTCATCCTATAACAGGGCGGTGCCGCCAACCCTAGTCGCCCGTCCAGACCCTCAACGATCTTCAAGCCCGGTCCGACCCTGCAAGACCGGATCGACAGGGTTCACACGCCTGCCGTCCCGCCTGCCACAACAGCCTCAAAAAAAACCCAAAAAAAACGAAGGACTGAAAATCAAATAAGCAAAAGAGGAAAAAAGCCACCAGGCAAGGGCGGAGAGGGATAAAAAAAGAAAACAAGGCGGACCGAAAGAGGGAAGACACAAAAACTTACAGCTAGCAAGGGCAGCAGAAAGGTGGGCCCACAGGAGCTGCTTTGCCGAGCTTCTGGCTTGAATTTCCTGGTTCTAGAAAAAGACGGAGCAGGCCCAGAACCAAGCCAGCTTGACCGACCCAGAGACCCGGCTCCCACACCGTTTCTCCCACCACCCAGCCACCACCCAGTACCTAGCACTGGTCTCTTAGGCTCCACAAGCGCTCCTCCCACACCAGGGCCGCCAGTTGCAAAACTCTCCCCAGGACTCCGGATCCGATAGCTCGCATGTGTCTCCCCAACCTGCTGCCTTCGAGGAAGAACACGACCGACATCGCGCCCGATTTACAACCTCACCTGCACCCGAGGCCAGTCACATCGAACACGCGCGGCAGTTTACGGGCAGGGACAGCCCCCGGGGCAGCGGGGGAGGAGGAACGCGCACAAGCAACCACCAAGAAGGGCAAAAAAGCAAGGTTCTTCCCACCCTCCTGGTGGAACGCCACATCCCGCCGCCGAGCCATGTCCGCCACGCAGGCTGCGATAACAGACACCACCACCGCCACCACCACCACGGCCGCTGGCGGCGCCGGCCACCGGAAGACGGCATGGCAGCCACTGCACCCTGACGTCCGCCCGAGGCTCGACCCGCAGTACGTCAAGCTTCACGACGAGGAGCTGCAGTACTTTTTCCCCGATCATGAGAGGCAGTGGGACCCGGCCATCCGCCAAGGCTCGCCCAACACGCCGCTCGGCCTAGGCCCCGTGGCCGTCGGGGCCGTCGAGACGTTCGACCTGGGCCTGTTCCAAATCCGCGCATTCACGCCTAGCACCCAGGGCCCGTCCGACTCGCCCCGCCCGGGCGCGGGGTGGCCGCTTTTTGTTTGGTTCCACGGCGGCGGCTTCGCCTTGGGCGACCTCGGCAGCGACTTGGACATTATTACTCGCATCTGCCAAGGTAAGACCTTGCCCCTTGTCTTGTTTGCCCTGCGTGCTATCATTTTTTTCATCCCTCTCTATTTCTTCTCGCCTTCTGCAGTCGATTCCGTTTTCGTCCTCATGCAGGTGCCTCTACATCCGCGCACCATCACGTGTTGGACTAGGGTCGTCGATCATGCCATGTTGGGAAACTTGCAACAGCCAATTCCGTTTCTGTTATTGAAGCCTCTCGGATTTTTTTTTTTCGTATTGCTTATGGCTGCTTGCGGTCGCTGACAAGAATGGTCACAATTTAGAATCACAATGTGTTGTGGCTAGTATTGGCTACCGCTTAGCACCAGAGCACAAGTACCCCGCATCCATCGAGGACAGCGTCGCCGCGCTACGCTGGCTACTCTCGCCCGAAGACGGAGTCGCGAAGCTGGGCCTCGACCGAACACGCTTCGCACTGGGTGGTGCCTCGGCAGGTGCCCTCCTTGCCGTCTCGGCGGCCCTCCACTGCGCCCAGGACGCCGACCCGGACGTTCGCCCGTCGCTGCAGGTGCTGATCGTGCCCGTGGTCGATAATACGGCCCAGCCTAACGGCGAGCGCTGGTCCGTCAACGGGCCCACGGCCCCGGGCCTCACCCCGACCCGCATGCTCTGGTACCGCAACATGTGGCTCAACTCGCCCGCCGACGCGCTCAACTGGGACGCCAGCGTCGACCGCGCCCCGCCCGAGCTTATCGCCCGCCTGCCGCCGTCCTTTGTCGCCATTGCCGACCAGGACCTGCTCGCGCCCGAGGGCGAGCAGTTTGCGGACCTCATGGCCGCCGCCGGCGTCCCGGTCGAGAAGAAGATCTACAAGGGCTGCACGCACGCCCTGCTAGCATATTCCGGGTATGTGGAAAACGTCTGGTCGCATCCCTCCGGGCCCGACCGAATCGCTAACAATGTGGCAATGCAGAAAGATGGACAAGTCGAAGGAGCTGCTTTATGACTGCGTGCATCGTATCAGAGACGCGCTTCATCCCTGAACCTCGACCAAACACTTGACCTCGACACTCGCTTGTTCTACCAACATTTCTCTATGTTAGCTATACTGTCGTTCCTTTACCAAAAGTTTCTCCTTTTCTCCCCAAGTTCTGCCACACATACCGGGTTTTGGGTTACATAGATGGCGATTTTATCCTTGCAACCTTTTGGGGGTTGGTCAAGGTGGGCATGGGACGGCGCAGCGCCTAGGCAGCTCGTTTTTCAAACACTCTCTTCTTTGTCATTTTCTTTTTGGTGTCGGCTGGCGTTGGTCTTCAAGGGCCGTGGCTTGAGCCTTCTGGGAAGACGACACGCACGCCTGATTTGATTTTGGGATCAAGGGCGATGGACGGGCGGCTTTTGTTCACTGGTTTTGTCCGTTCGTTTTTTTTTCTCGACATACGTCCAAAGTTTCTGGAATTGACGAAAATATTGTATATGCCTGCTTTTTTCGCTTCTCTGTCGAAATTTCAGCGGGGGCTTGTTGTGGAAAGGAGTGCGTAAGTGGTTGATGCGGTGCAGTTTAACTAATGTTGTAAATCTGTTGTAGGAGTGTAAATAGCTGTCGTTCGCTTCTGGAGAGCGGTTTGGAGATATAAATGTAATTAGTAACGCACTTATTAAAGGAAAAAACGCCTGTGAGCAGGACATCTGGCATGCCATGTCTTGCGATTCTCAAATCAGTCGGTTAGGCTGTTCAGATTTCCTTTACTTCTAACGCATTTTTGTGTTTGAGAATACTAACGCTTTGCAACCAGATGGAGGAGGCGGGCCAATACACATGTGGCTTTTATTTTTAATTTAAACGTTCGTTTTTATTAGCTTCATTTTTAATTTAAACCATTTAACTTTTCGGAACATTTTCGCCAAAAACACCAACAAAGTCGAAGAACCGTCAGTGCCGAACTGGCGTTGAATGAAACAGAAAATACGGTGAAATCGTTAGAAGAAGTAAAAAGTAACGTGAAACTGAGTAATGTTAAGGCGCGGCAGCTGGCCGCCTTTTGCTTCATACATCCATTGGGTAGGGGATAAGTGGTGATGGTAGACCCGCCGGGGCGCGGGACTACCCGTGCCTTTGTTCGAATGGTTGGTCTCGACAGGTTGTTGACTTCATTGTTCCCTACGGCAATACCGGGCATACCTTGCAACAATGGGCTTGTCGGTGATAGCCGAGCCTTCTTCGAGCATATTCAGAAGAGTAGATAGCCTCTCAGGTAGCATAGCTGAGCGCTTTGTTGAGGGTCTCGCTCGAGGTCTATATAACATCTAGTCTCTCCTCCTCGGTATCCGGATTGGAAAATGGGAACACAACTCATACCACTCACCGCACTCTTGAGCATATCCAACTAGGGATCTTCTCTCAGACTCCTAGCAAAGTGCTCGACTGCTCGACCGCATCGGCTCGCCCACCTCGACGGCAAGTCGTTTGCCAACTCAACCCGCGATACTGACGAACAGGCCCGCCCTACCAAAACCAACACGATGGCGGAGAACAACGCGAACAACGGCAACGCACCCCCGAACCTCAACCACGGGGCGGACGACTTCAACCTGGGAGGTATCGGGGATTTCAATCTCGAAAACGCAGGTGATTTTAACTTCGAGTTCGGCGACCTGGTTGACTTGAACGCCGGCATGCCGGCCTTGGGCCCCGGCGCCGCTCAGCAGGGGCCTGCGCCCGACGCGCCGGTGGGTGTGAACCCGCGCGACGTCTTGAACCCTCCCCAGCAGGGCGATGCCGCTGCCCCGGTGCAGCCGCAGCAGGCTCAACAGGACGTGCCCATGCCCCCACAGCAGCCGCTGCCGGGAGCCGATGCGGGGGACTTTTTCAACCTCGCCCAGCGGGGATTCCTCACGCCGCAGCAACAGCAGCGGCAACTCGCTGACCCGAGGATCTTTGAGCCCTTTGGCGGCCAGATGCAGTTCCCGCAGCAGAACTTGGCCGGCGCCGCGCAGGCCGCGAACCCGGCCCCGGCCGGGCCCTCCGGCAGCATGCAGGACATGATCCGGCAGGAGATACGCGAGCAGGTCAGGAGCCAGGTGCAGCAAGAGCTCATGGGCATGGGGGCCGCAGCAGGCAGTCCGTTTGGAACACCGCCCGCCAACCAGTTCCCGCACATGGGCTGGCGCGACCGGGTCCTCAGCCACACGGCCTCGTCCTCGGCCTCGGCCGGGCTGCAGTCGGGGAACGCGTCGCCAAGCCCGATGGGGGGCGCCTTCCCGGGCGCGGGGCCGGCCTTCGGCCTAGGGACGCCACACGCCCAGGCCTTTGCGAACATGGGGCCGCAGATGCCGCTGCTCAACGGCGCCGGGGGTTTCCCAAACCCGCTGCCGTTCCACCAGCCTTTCCTCCTGCCGTTCCAGGGCCCCGCCGACTTTGGGCAGAGCCTTAACGCCGGCGGCTTCTTTGGCAATCCCGCGGCCCCGCTGGGCAACAACAATATGATCCCGCCACGGCTCAGCGCGCTGGGCAACGTGCTTCCGGCCGACGCCGGCCCCGGGCCGGCCGCCCAGCCAGAGCAGGATGAGCCACAGGGCCAACAGGACGAGCCACAGCGCCAGCAGGAAGACGCCATGCAGTTTGTTGTGTTTGACCCCACCCTCGCCGGCCAGCAGGAGGACGCGGCGTTTGCCGCCTTCGTTGCTGCGGCCGAGAACGAGCCGACCCCTGAGAAGCAGGGGGCCTTCGACGGCGGGGTCGTTGCTGAGATGGACGAGTTCCAGCCGGATTATGACTTGTTTGGCAGCGGCGATGAGGATGAAGATAATGACTTGTTTGGCGGCGGCGACGGCGACGGCGACGCGGACGCAGACGGCGACGACGACGCAGACGCCGACGCCCAAGGTAACAACGACTTGGAGCCCCAGAATGCCGGCCCGGCCAATCGGGAGGAGCAGCAACAGAGTGAGCCTGACACGTCTGAGGAGGAGGACCAATCGCCGGAGCCCTTGCTGCGCCGCAGCATGCGGGCCAGAAAGCGGAGCTGCCGGGCGCCACCGACCACGCCGTCGACCGACAACGACTCCATGGACCTCGACGAGCCCGAGCCCGAGGCCAGCGGCTCGGCCGAGGCCGCCGGCGACGACGGCGACCCCGAAACGGACGAGGAAGACCGGGTCTGCCGAAAGGAGCAGGCCAGTAAGATCAAGGTCGGCCCCCTCCCCGGGGCCGACGTGCGGACCTACGTCGGGCGGGTCGAGGCCGGCGACTGCGCCGACTGCGGCGACGGCCTGCTGGGAAACTACACCTTCTTCGGCCTCTGCGCGCCGTGCCACGGCAAGAGGCGGGCGGAGCGCACCAAGCGCGAATCGCTCTCGCGCAAGGGCGCCATCGGCGGCGCCGAGAGGTACTGGCGCCGGGCGCCGGCGCCGCGGCGCCGCACCGTCGACATGGACACGTACGTGGCGCGGGTCGAGGTCGGGCGCTGCGTCGACTGCGACGCGGGCGAGGGCCTGGCGCTCTCGGGCATCTGCCTCACCTGCCGCCGCCGCCGGCAGACCAGCAACAAGCGTGCCCTCAAGGCGGCCAAGGACGCGGCGCTGAGGGAGGAGCGCGGCAGCGGCAAGCGGTGCCCCGCGCCCTCGGCCCCCAGGCGCCAGCGCTGGGGCCGCC